TTCAACAGCAGCCTCAGCAACAGCCTCACTTCAGCCTGCTGCTCATCTATACTCTTTCTTTAAAACATCCCAAAGAAGTTTGTAAGGTCAGATTTCTCAAAACAGTCATTTTGTCCAGCAGTAGCCTCTACCCTGCTGCCCAGCCTGCTGTTCACACAAATCTATACTTTGAGTCAGCTAAGTACGTTTCTAGAAAGCTCTCATCGACCCAAGTGAAACCCTATAATCAGATTTCTCAAATTCACATTATAGCCTACCAGCTGCCTCAACAACACCCTGCTGCCTACTCTGCTGCTCAGCCATCTGCTTACCTAAATAAGTCCATACATCTTGAAATTCCTCCAGAAGACTTATTTAGAGTTTATAAGGCTAATCTTATTGCTATCTTAACTCACAAGTCTATCCACCACTTCCAGAGAAAACTTACTATAAATAGAAGTGTTGGTCGGAAATAGGACACTCATAGGCTTTTAGGAAAGCTACGTACGAATACTCAAGCAAGAATCAGGAAAGTAATATGAATAAGGAAAATGCAAAGGGAATTTGGTAGCCAGAAATAGCATCTCTCATTTGAAATTCAGACTTGCCTTTCATAGGCGATTTACAAATAGTAACTGTCAAAGATACTAATGGCTAATTAACTACAACATTAATACAGAATCAAACACATAATTAATAGCGCATTGATTGTTGGCTGTTACTCTTCATGGCTGGTTGGCAGGTTGGCCTGGCTAGCAGGCATAACGCTTGATCTCCTCGAGCGACAGGCTTCCGGTTGGGCCGGCAGGCAGGCTCTCCGTTGGACTGGAAGGCAGGCTCTCCGCTAGGCCGAAGGACAGGCTCCTCGCTAGCTCGAAAGGCAGGCTCCCGGTTGGGCCGGTAGGCAGGCTCTCCGCTGGGCTGGAAGGCAGGCTCCCCGCTGGCCGGGCTGGAAGGCAGGCTCCCCGCTGGACTGGTCGACAGGCTCTCTTGGGCTTCCGGTTGGGACGGTAGGTAGGTTCTCTGCTGGGCTGGAAGGCAGGCTCCCCGTTGGCCGGGCTGGAGGGCAGGCTCCCCGATGGCCTGGTCGACAGGCTCTCTTGGGCTTCCGCTCCTTGATTGCCCTGATCGGTTGGGCCGACTCGAGCTTTGGGTTGCTGGGCTTGGGCCTGCTGGTCGAAGTTCAGAGCCTGAGCCGATTAGGCTCTGGGCCTAGTCCCATAACCCCATCACGAGTCCCCCACTCCCTTAGTCGAGTAGTAGACTCGGCTAAGAGGGAGTAGTTCAAGTCAACTGCCAATTAAAAGATATTCACATATCAGGGAGCCATAATTGTGGATTCTGTCAATCCCACAATTTATGGAGATTTCCAAATTTTGAATAAGGCACTCAACTTTAAAAGGCTCCAAATTAATTCCCTTAGCGTTCTAGCATTCCAGCAGCAAGCTTTCTCCCAGACTTCAGGATCCAGGTCAGCTTCAAAAAATCCCTGAAATTCATTATTATTATTTCATAAATTATTTTCAGACTTTATTTTATTTTTCCTTCCTTTTCTTTTCTTTCCTTCCTTTTTCTTTCCTTTTTTCCCTTCTTTTTTCTTTCCTTCTTTTTTCTTTCCTTTTCTTTTCTTTCCTTTCTCTCTTTCCTGGACCTCCTGCGTGCGCGCATCTTCTCCGAGTCGCCCCAGTGCCGCAGTCCCCCGTCGAGTTGGTTGACCGCCACCCGGTAGCTCCACTGTGTCGTCCTACCGTGCCAGGCAGACGTCTTGTGTTGGGCGCCGGTTGCCGACGTCTCCCGCCAGTCCGGCGAATCTGGTCGGCCGGCCAGCCTATACCTCTATGTTGGTCGGCGCAATTTACAGGGGCTGGCAGTCGTTCCACCTCTGGCCGGCATCATTAAGGGGACCGGTAGCCAGGTGCCCCTCAGTCGGATGATGTCCTTCTCTCAGGCGGCCAGGCTGTTTGCCGCCGCGTGGCTCCTCCACCGGACGGTATCCTCCAGGAAGCTAGCGGTCCTGTTGAGATGAAACCCCAATACCTTGGAGTACCAGCCTACCGGGCGTTCGTGGTACATCGTTGGCGGTTGGGCTCTAAGGGTGTTTTGGACCTCCAAAATCGGACTGCCAGGGTCTTCATCCTACTTCCCATTGATGGATATTCTTGGAAGTCAAATTCCAAGGCCGCCAACTACGGTGCCACGACTACGACAAACAGGTCCCCAGGAAGCCAAGGCTCCCAGGCCACGACAGACAGATCCCCAGGCAGAAAGATGCTTCCAGGCTGGTGTTCTTCGCCCCTCGCGTTGTTCGGCGAGTTTTCGCTCCGATGCGTGGCAGGCCAATATCAAACTCAGCAGGTTGGCGCCCCGGGCGGCAGTGCGGCTTCCAAGGTTGTGGATGTAGCTTCCAGCTCGACAGACACCCAGCGGTGGCGGGTCCAAGGTCGGAGTCCTGGACTGGATGCCCCGGCTAGAGTCTCTACTCCCCGGGGTTCCGCATTGTCCGGCGAGCCGCTGCTGCATGTTTCTTCTGTCTTTAATTTCCATGCGTACCTAGACTGGGCATCGATCCCCTGGTTTTGATAGAGTAGAAGGCTGGAGTTGGGGTAAGCGCCCAGCTTTCCCCATGAGTTTGAACGCAGTTTGTTGCATGCCGTTGTATGGTGCCTCACATGAGCAGTTCTTCCGGTGCTCGGCTTCACCTTGGCCAGACAGTTTGGGTTAGGGGCTGGCAGCCACCCCTCTTCCGGCAGATGTAGCTCAGGAAGCTTGCAACTACCCACTAAGCGGCCTAGGCGGGTGCTCCCTTTGATGACGCCCTCCATGTTAGCCTGCAGTTTGACGTTTTTGTTATTTCTCTATTTTTTGTCTTTGCAGGTTTGACGTTCTCCCGGAGATGGCTCCAGCTAGGCTGACCACTACTCATGAGGGTCGGCAACTGAGCGTTCTAGATAGAGCGCGGGCACAACATGTGGTCGTGTCAGATTCCGACGATGACTCTGGTGCTCGGGAGGACCCGAATCTTTGGTGGGGCCTTGATAATAGCGGGATAGCGAACCTCCCCCCTCGTATCCAAGATGAGGACCTTGCCATTGCATACAGTTTGATTGGCAATGATTGTTTGTTGGAATCTCCGGGGGCTACTGACATATTGAGCAATCCACCAACTCCCTACTTCGGGAGCTAGGGATGGTCGTGCCACTGCACCCCTTCCTGGTTCGGTTCCTTCACTTTCTGGGTGTGGCACCGGGTCAATTGGCTCCGGCGGCTCACATGTTCGTTGCAGCCTTTGTGGCGCGATGTGAGGATGTGGGCCTCACACCCACGATTGATTTGTTTTTCAGCTGCTTCCAGTGGCGTGCTTCTAGCTTTTTTGCCTCACTCTCCCAGAGGTCGGTGAGCAAACTGTTTCGGTCGGGTTACCCTCGTTCAGGGAAGGGGTGGAAGAAGAGATGGATATGGGTATCCGACACCAACCTCCCGTCACCTCTGCCTCAGTGGGGTGAACGGGTTCGGAAGTGTGACCGGGTCGCTCTCTCCATGGTCTCAAGTTCTCCATCGAGATATTGTCCGCATGCGGTCCCCACTCTATCAGCTCGTATTTAGGTGATTGTCACCTCCCTGGTCTATGTTTGCTACTTTGTATTTTATTCTGCCTATCCTCACATTTTTCTTCCGCGGCTGTGCCTGAGAAGCTCGTTGTTGAGGCGGAATCCGATGAAGAGGAGGAGCTTCAACAAATCATCGTCCCTGCGGCTCTTACAGCTGCGAAGGGGAAAGAGCACGGAGTCCCCCCCCCCCCCCCCTCCAAGAAGGATGAGAGTTACCTTTGGGCCTCGGCCAACTACGCCAGTGCAGGAGAAGCATAAGGGCGGACTCGTCGACCTGCTAGTCGAATTGGACGGGTCCGATGAGGAGGAGGAGGAGCCCTACCCAGCCATTACTCATGTGGCCCCTAAGACTGTTGCGGGGAAAGAGCGCGGAGCCTCCTCCCCGGGCCGAAGGGAACAAGTCTCGAAGAAGGCCAAGGTCGCCCCCAAGTTTGATTCCGCTCAGCAGGAACATGAGGGTGCAGATGAGAGCATGGCCGAATGGATCAGCTATGACACCCAACATACAGTTACTTACGCCTTCCCATCTTCGAGTGCCTCAATTATGCATGGAGGCTTCCCGGTCGTGGATTACGGTTCATCGATCCTCCCACCAGGCGACCTCGCATGTACGACTTCCCAAGAGTTTCATCCCCTCTTGGAGGGTTCTATCCGGTAACACATTGAGGTAGGTTGATCACGTCTTGACGTGGATTGTGTTTATCCCTGAACCCCTAACATTTTCGTTTGTCTATTTTGCAGGGGCTCGCCAAGACCATCAGGGCACTCCACGTGGCCAATCATTCTCAGGCCAGGCTTCAGCTTGAGGCTGGCGAAGCTAGGGCTGCCCTGTGGGCTAGCCAGAAAGCCTTCTCCGAGCTGCAGTCCTCGCGTGCACAAGAATGTGAAGAAGCGGCCAAACAAGGAGCCGAGAAAGCGCTCTCCGAGTTCCAAGCCTCCGAGCAGTTCCAGAAGATCATCTCTGCGAGGGTGCAAGCGGAACAGTCTGAACTAGTGCAGAGGTGGCTGACGACCCCCGACGGAGAGTATTGGCACGCTCACGAAGTCCTCAATGCTTTTCAGAGCGGCAAGTATTTGATGCAGCAGAAGGTGTATGGCCGGTTGCAGGATCTCGACCCTGACTTTCACCCATCCACACTGGGCCTTCCGAGTCGCATGAAGAAACCCGTGGAAGCGATAGCCCTTCTTCCCCCAGAGGCCGTCCGCCAGGAGGAGGAGCTTGGTGGTTCGAATGAGTGGGCCTGGTTCTTTCCGCCAGCTCCAGGGAACATGACTCCTGTAGCCCCTGGTCGGGACTTGGTTGGCGTGTTAGATGATATTCCTGAGGTTGATGGTGATGGGCCTGTCCAACCATGATCTTGTATTTTGTATTTCCTTTGTTTTCCACTTGAATGCTATGTGTTTCGAATGGATGTTTGATTTTGAACTCATATGTCTCCTTTTCTCTACTTTGCATTACGAATACTTAGCAATTTATTCGGGGATCCGGCTTCTCTAACCTCCCGGGGGGCAGTTAGGCTGGCATGGCCGAGCCTATCCGTTCCCCTCCTGGTCGGATAGAAGTGATCTGTTCGCTGTTGATATGGATTCAACAAGTACACGACTTGTTCGGCTAGCAAGGTCGGACATTGAACCTACGAGGAGGACCCTTAGGTCGGTATCCTGAACGTTCATGACCCGGGGGTCAGTCCTACTGTCACTTTAACCCGTCCAGTTTGCCCGGACATGGGGAATAATCTGGTTACTCCTGCAGGGATAGCCGAACAACAGGGTCGGACCTTGCATGATCCACCAGAACGGACCCGCACCGCCAACTCAGGGATGGCGAGAGCGCGAGCTGCTTGGGCAGCGATGTTAGGCAGCGAGCACTCGAAAGGACCCGGAGGTCAGCATCCTGAGCGCCCTCGACCCGGAGGTCGGCCCTACTGTCGCCTCGACTGTCGCGGCTGGATCTTTACTTTAGAAAATTGCCCGGATTCTCGAAAATCGCTTGGCTATTTTCAGTTCAAGAGCCTTGCCGATGTTGGCCAAACACCGAGGGGGCATAGTACCTCTTTTTCTTCCTTTTTTATTTCTTTTTTTTTCTTTTTTTCTGCCGCCCTTTATTGCTAAGTGAGGTCGGACCTCTTTCGAAGACAAAATATCGCTAGCAAAATATATTGAATTCATGATGTGGGCGGACCACATGAAGAATTACAAATTGTGATCCCGTGTTCGGAGCACATGAGTTTACAAAGAAAAGTAAAGTTTCGATTTTCTACTAGTAAAACTTCATCAGGTGCTCGGCGTTCCAGACACGATCTACTAGTCGGCCTGTTGTTGTCTTCAACTTGTATGTTCCAGGGCCGATCATGGCGTCAACCACGTAAGGGCCTTCCCACTTGATGGAAAGCTTACCTCCCTCTGTCGGCTTGCTCGCCTTCCTACGCCTCAAGACGTAGTCACCGACATCAAAACTCCGGGGTCGGGCTCGGCTGTCCTGGTATGCCTTGATTTGCTGTCGGTAGTTTTCCGCTTTGATGAAGACACGGTCTCTTCTTTCCTCGATGAGGTGGAGCTCGGCTCGGAGCCTCTCCTCATTGCTGGCTGGTTCAAACTCTTCCACCCGTCGGCTGAGGACTACTGCCTCGAACGGTGCCCTCGCCTCAAAGCCATAGCACAAAGCGAAGGGGGTCTCTCCGGTTGCCTTCCTTGGGTTTGTTCTGAAGGTCCAGAGTATATTGTTCAACTCCTCCACCCAGACAGTCCTGAGGGCCTCCAATTTCTTTTGCCGCCCATCGACGATCGTCCGGTTGGTGTTCTCCACATGTCCATTTGCTTGAGGATAGCAGACCGCAACTCTGCTGGATTCTACGCCCCACTCTGCGCAGAACTGCCGGAAGGCTTCGCAGTCAAACTGCCTTCCATTGTCGGAGATTATTTGGAGGGGAACCCCAAATCGGCAAAAAATATTCTTCCATATGAATTTCTTACATTGAAGATGCGTGATGCTGGCGAGTGGCTCGGCCTCCACCCACTTCGTAAAGTAGTTCACCGCGACGATGACGAACTTTCGGTTTCCCGACCCGGTTGGCAGGGGACCGACCAGGTCGACGCCCCATCTTGTGAATGGAAGGGCGGTGCTGATCGGTGTGTACATCGTGGCTGGCCGGCCAGGGTTCTTCTGGAATTTCTGACATGTCTCACATTTCCTTGCATAGTCGGCGCAATCCTTCATTATTGTCGACCAAAAGTACCCCTGGAGGATGACCTTCCTAGCTATCGTGCATGCCCCCTGGTGGGCGGAGCACACGCCCCCATGGAGTTCGGAAACGATCCTGTCTGCCTCATGTGGGCGCAAACACTTTAGTAGGGTCCCATTGTAGGACCTCTTGTATAGCTTCCCATCCAAGACAACGTAGCCCGAAGCCCGTCGTCGGACTAGCCTTGCTTCCTCTTCTTTATCGGGGAGCGTCCCGTTGGCTATGTAGCGCAGGAGGTCATCCACCCAGCACCAGGCGACCGGTTGCAGGGGAAGGACCTCGATGGACGATGATGGTGCTATACTTGAGGTCGTCATCTCTTCAATGCGTGCGATTTTTGAAATGTGTTTAGGCGGTCCCTGGGATAGTTTTGAGAGGAGGCCTGCATCCGAGTTTTGATTTCTCGGGATGCAGATCAACTCTGCTTGCTTGAAGAACCCGAGCAACTCCCGAACAGCATCTCGGTACTTCATCATTCTTTCTTCCTTCGCTTCGAACTCACCTTTGACCTGGGAAACCACCAGACGAGAGTCACATTTCACCGTTATCCACTCTGCTCCCATGGTGGCTGCCAGTCGTAGCCCAGACAGTAGGACCTCGTACTCCACCTCATTGTTAGAGACTTTGAAAAGATAGAGGTAGGCATAGTAGGCTCGGAATCCCTCGAGTGAGATGAGGACGATTCCGCCCCTGCATCCCTTGGCTCCTGCCGACTCATCAGTCGCTAGAGTCCACCACTGTTCATTGCTCTCTTGTTGCCTCTGTGCCACCTCTCTGGACGTGCATTCCACAACAAAAAAATAAGACGAAAATGGACTCATTACATCAGAGAAGAAGAAAGAATTCTGGAATTTTGATCTGGGAGAGCTCCGGATCTGAGACAGGGATGTCGCTGCCTGCAACACCAAGTCTAGCGGTCTAACTGACCAAGTTCGCCGTCGGAAGAGACTGTTCGAGTTCGCCGCCGTGGCCACGCTGAACCTCGCTGCCACCGCTATTGCAGACCCTACCGCAACCGGAACACTGGAGGCGCCTAATCCGGGTGATCTCACAAACCCAGCTCCTCAACCCATCCGCAGGAAAAAGGAAGCATTAAAAAATTTCAGATGTAGAATCCGCTGGGTCTCGGAGGAGGTGGCAACGTCGGCGTGTGTCGGCTGACGTACTTCCCCAGAGGACCAAGTCTGGCGGCCGCTGGCCCGTTGCAACGAGTCTCCGGCCGCAGCTCTGTACACCGGTCGCGGGGCGGACGCCTTTAGCGGCGGACCTCTCTACCTCCCCAACCCGCAGACCGGTCCTCCGACCCCGTCGCCGCTCAACTGCGAGCCAGATGAGTCTCCGCCATTAATGGTGGCTTGGAGCTCAGAAAAATGTGTATTTCGAAGTTCAGCCGGTCTTCCAAGGCTAGCCTCTGTGGCCATCCACGCAACTCGACAACCTCTCTGACCTCCGCAGCCGCTGCAGTCTTCAAACGACGAGGGAGCTAATTGACGGGGAGCAACAGTAGTCGTGCAGCCACTCTCTTGGTCGCAGACTTCCCACATGCCGAAGGTTTAGGGCTGGTAGGAGCTACTGGTAGTAGCTTGTCAGGAGTAATGATCGTATGGACAAGGAGGGAGTGATTGACTGGAATTCTCAATCAAGTCAAAAAATCAACTCTTATCCAAGTCAGCTAGTTCGTTGACTTCGTTCCATTTGAAGCTAAGTCCCGTACTAACTCCCTCATTTTTTATTACTCCCTCCGTCCCAGAATTATCTTCATTCTTTCTTTTTCGGTTCGTCCCAAATTTATCTCTTTTTTCCCTTTTTGGTAAAGAATATGTGGTTCATAACCATTCTTACACATTTCTCTCTCCTCTGCATAACTCTCTACCACACAAATACCACTATCTTAAAACCTGTGCTCGGTCAAAACCGGAGTTAAATATGGGACGGAGGGAGTAATATGTTAAATGGTAGGGATTTTCCTGTTGTTTGTTATCACAATTATTTAACAGGGATTCCCGAAATTAAATAATGCTGAGCCAAGCTCTATTGATAAATGCCCACCGTCATTCTATTTAAATGATTGTGTTGGTGGGCTTGTGGGCCCACCCTGACTAGCTTTAATAAGCGATCGGACCGTACCTGAATGGCCTCTAGTAGAATAGTATAGTTACCATTACCTATTATGCCATTTTTTTTTTATTAGGGATCAAAATATCCCGAAATTAAATAACGCCGAGCGAAGTTCCAGTGATAATATGTCCCGACGGCCAACTCTCGATCGACTTTAATTAGCAATTGGAGCGTCTCCGAGTGACATTGCCCCAATGACGCTTTTCATTTTAGGGTACACACGATCCCGCACGGCATCAAATGCTCGGCCGAATATCGTACCCCAATTTCATTTACGCCGCTAGGCGCGAGATAATTGTTTGCCAGTCGCGGCCCGTAGGGCCCGAGGTACCGAGGCGCTTAACCTTTCAGAGGAAATGCGCGTAACGTTGGGTTGAATTTACAATCTCACAAACCAACAGTTGTATCTATATGACGTCCGGCAACTCACTAAGTGGCCCTGCCATGGACGGTTGCATCCAAGAACCCCGCACGATGAGCTGAGCCGAAAGTCATGATAACGTGTAGGCCGGTATTCGAAAACGTTTAAAAAAAAGAAAAAAGAAGAAAATAAAGGTATGCACATAGGTATTTATACGTATACGTATATTGTTGGGACGTGCGGCCTTGTTACCATGTTTGTTTTGCAGTTGAAGCCGCTCGACGCTTCCGAACAAAGCAGTTAAATGATGCCCGACATGAATCCCGAAGACACTCAAGGCCGGCTAAAGAAGAGAAATCACAAATCGCAAGTGGGCCATAATGTCGAATGACGATCGCCCCCCATAGCAATGTGTTTATCTCCCCAAGCCCAGATTCCTCCCTGCCCTGCGCGGATGAGGACTATGGATGGACTCGGGCCGGGTGGCCCGACCCGGAACCGGCCCGGGACCGGTACTGTTCCGGCCCGGCCCGGCCCAACCCGGTGGCCCGGTCAGTGACCGGTCCGGGTAGGCCCGGCCCGTGGGTTTTCCGGTCCGGGCTCGGGTCACCCAAAACAAGGCCCGACCCGGCCGGGCCCGGTTCGGGCCAATAACTATTTTTTTTTCAATTTTTTTAAATTTTCGGGTTGGGCTGGGTATTTTGGGCCATTTGGGGTGGTTTGGGGGGTTGGGGGTGGGAGGGGGGTTAATTAGGAAGAGGAAAACAAAAAAAAATATAATGGGCCCGGCGGTTACACGGGCCGGTCCCGGGTCCACCATTTCTGACCCGCCGGCCCGCCCGGGCCTAGGCCCGACCCGGACCCGGCCCGGACCCGAGTCCATCCATAATGAGGACCGTTACACGGATATTTGTGAATTCGGCCTTTCAATGCCAACACCCTTATATCATGACTGGCCTTTCGGCACGACGTGCTCACTTACTCGAAGACTGGCCTCGTCCCCGCTCCTCGCGGATGAGGACCGTTGATTGATTATTTCATATCGGCCCCCAGTGCCGACGTCATTTTATGGCCACCGACCCCCTTGGTACGGTGCCATCATCACATTTGAAGACCGGCCTCGTCCCCGCTCCTCGCAGATGAGGACGGTTGATTGATTCTTTCAGATCGCCCCCCAGATCCGACATCATCATATGGCCACCGACCCCCTGGTACGGTGCCATCATCACATTTGAAGATCGGCCTCGTCCCCGCTTCTCGCGGACGAGGACCGTTGATTGATTATTTCAGATCGACCCCCAGTGCCGACATCAATTTATGGCCACCGCCCCCTGGTACGGTGCCATCATCACATTTGAAGACAGGCTTCGTCCCCGCTCCTCGCAGATGAGGATCGTTGATTGATTCTTTCAGATCGGCCCCCTGAGCCGACATCATCATATGGCCACCGACCCCCTGGTACGGTGCCATCATCACATTTGAACACCGGCCTCGTCGCAGCTCCTCGCGGATGAGGACCGTTGGTTGATTCTTTCAGATCGGCCCCCAGAGCCGACATCATCATATGGCCACCGACCCCCTGGTACAGTGCCATCATCACATTTGAAGAACGGCCTCGTTCCCGCTCCTCACGGATGAGGACCGTTGGTTGATTCTTTCAGATCGGCCCCCATAGCCGACATCATCATATGGCTACCGACCCCCTAGTACGATGCCATCATCACATTTGAAGACCAGCCTCGTCCCCGCTCCTCGCGGATGAGGACCGTTGATTGATTCTTTCAGATCGGCCCCCAGAGCCGACATCATCATATGCCCACTGACCCCCTGGTACGGTGCCATCATCACATTTGAAGACTGTCCTCTTCCCCGCTCCTCGCGGATGAGGACCGTTGATTGATTCTTTCAAATACGATCCCAGCGCTAACACTTTTATATAGCCACCGACCCCCTGGTACGGTGCCATCATCATATTCAAAGACCCCTCAAAAAAATAGAGGGGCACCGGGGAATCCTCAAAAGGATAAACCCGTTTCCCATCACAATCGCGGTCCAGCTCAGCTCAGGATCCAAAGGACCGGGCTAAAGGGCGGGTAAGATGAGTGGATGACGAAACGAAGATAAGCCCAATAATAAATATATGTATATATATGGCCTGGGGAATCCCCAAAGGGGACAAACCCGTTCCTCACCGACTACGACGGCTTAGCTCAGCTCAGGATCCAAATGACCAGGCCAAATTGGCAGGTACGACGAGCGGATGACAGAACGAAACATAAAAGAATCCCAAGAGGATCAAATAAAAGAATCCCAAGAGGATCAAATAAAAGAATCCCAAGACGGATCAAACAAAAGAATCCCAAGACGGATCAAACAAAAGAATCCCAAGACGGATCAAACAAAAGAATCCCAAGACGGATCAAACAAAAGAATCCCAAGACGGATCAAACAAAAGAATCCCAAGACGGATCAAACAAAAGAATCCCAAGACGGATCAAACAAAAGAATCCCAAGACGGATCAAACAAAAGAATCCCAAGACGGATCAAACAAAAGAATCCCAAGACGGATCAAACAAAAGAATCCCAAGACGGATCAAACAAAAGAATCCCAAGACGGATCAAACAAAAGAATCCCAAGACGGATCAAACAAAAGAATCCCAAGACGGATCAAACAAAAGAATCCCAAGAGGATCAAACCGTTCCTCACAGACTACGACGGCCTAGCTCAGCTCAGGATCCAAATGACCGGGCTAAAGGGCAGGTACGACGAGCAGCTGAGGACCACTATCTTACGCCGCACAATCGGCCCCTCATAGACTACACCGTCCTAGCTCAGCTCAGGATCCAAAGGACCGGGCTAAAGGGCGGGTACGACGAGCGGGTGACCGAACGAAATCTTACGCCGCACGATCGGCCCCCACAGACTACGCCATCCTAGTTAAGCTCAGGATCCAAAGGACCGGGCTAAAGGGAGGATACGACGAGCGGATGACGGAACAAAATCTTATGCCGCACGAAAGGCCCCTCACAGACTACGCCGTCCTAGCTCAGCTTAGTATCTAAAGGACCGGGCTAAAGGGCATGTACGATGAGCAGATGAGGACCACTATCTTATGCCGCACGATCGGCCCCTCACAGACTACGTCATCCTAGCTCAGCTCAGGATCCAAAGGTCCGGGCTAAAGGGCAGGTACGATGAGCAGATGAGGACCACTATCTTATGCCGCACGATCGGCCCCTCACAGAATACGCCGTCCTAGCTCAGCTCAGGATCCAAAGGACCGGGCTAAAGGGCAGGTACGATGAGCATATGAGGACCACTATCTTATGCCGCACGATCGGCCCCTAACAGAATACACCGTCATAGCTCAGCTCAAGATCCAAAGGACCAGGCTAGAGGACAGGTACGATGAGAAGATGAGGACCACTATCTTATGCAGCACGATCGGCCCCCTCAGCGCCATCGTGTCCAGTTCATGGTCGGCTCGCCCATTCTTTCCAGGATGGGGACCACCATCTTATGCAGTATGATCGGCCCCTCAGCGCCATCGTATCCCATTCATGGTCGGCTCGTCCATTCCTTCCAGGATGGGGACCACCGTCTTATGCAGTACGATCAGCCCCTCAGCGCCATCGTATCCCGTTCATGGTCGGCTCGTCCATTTCTTCCAGGATGGGGACCACCGTCTTATGCAGTACGATCGGCCCCTCAGCGCCATCGTTTCCAGTTCATGGTCGGCTCGTCCATTCCTTCCAGGATGGTGACCACCGTCTTATGCAGCATGATCGGCCCCTCAGCGCAATCGTATCCAGTTCACGGTCAGCTCGTCCATTCCTTCCAGGATGGCGACCACCATCTTATGCAGCACGATCAACCCCTCAACGCCATCGTGTCCAGTTCACGGTCGACTCCCCAATTCCTTCCAGGATGGAGACCACCGTCTTATGCAGCACGATCGGCCCATCAATGCCATCGTGTCCAGTTCACGATCGGGCTCACCCATTCTTTCCAGGATGGGGACCATCGTCTTATGAAGTGCGATCGGCCCCTCAACGCCATTGTGTCCCGTTCACGGTCGGCTCATCCATACTTTCTTAGATGGCGACCATCGTCTTATGCAGTACGATCGGCCCCTCAGCGCCATCGCACCTCGATCATGGTCAGCTCCGCCCATTCCTTACAGGATAGGGACCACCATTTTATGCAGCACGATCGGCCCCTCAGCTCCATCGTGTCTTGTTCATGTTTGGGATAACTATTCCTCTCTAGGATGGGACTCGTCGCTGTATATCATGCCTGACACACCCTCTTTCATACATTTCACTCATACATTACACGCATTCATACATTCATGCATCATATCTCATATATTCATACATACACACATGCATTGTGTTCGTCTTATCCATATTTTTCGAGGCAGCTTGATTCGGGCCTCTTAAGGTCCTCGGGTAGCAAACCCAGGTTGTAGTCCTTTACTCCCGCATGATACATTCAGGGGGAGAGGGTCCGGGAAAGAGCGTCCCTTGCCCGATCCAGTCGAGAGGGGGAGCGCCTTACCGGCAGATTATGTTCAGAGGGGCAGACACCCACCCATGCAGTAGGATTACTCGAAGACTCAGGTCTAAGAAAGACAAAGGAAGAGCGCGAGCAAGAATATACTTTCTCGAGCAGATTCGCACGCTCATTACTCAAGACACTGGGGGACTTGTGTTGGGATATACTATCCCGGTCAGTTACTGTTCAGGAGCCCAACACATTGCCCCAGTACGGGGCCCAATCGAAGAGGGCCATTTCAGCCTACCAGGCCTATTTTGGGCCTTTGGGCCCATTTCGGCCCACTCGGCCCTTTAAGGTAGCTTTGCACCCTCCTCCCTTTTCTCTATAAATAGGAGGACTCCCCTTCTTATTTAGGATCCTGGTCTTCTTCCCCAAAAGATGGCTTCTTCTCCTCCCCCTCTCTAAAACTAGTTTATACTCCATTAATGGAAACTTGTACATTGTAATGGTGAGGAGAGCATCAATAAAATGAGAGGGCTTGGACATTAGCCTAAACAGTCCCGTGGTTTTCTCCCTTTCGGGTTTCCACGTAAAAATCATTGTTTGCATTGTATTATCACCCCATAGCCACGAAACCCTCCCGGAAGGGGTGTTGAACTTCCGGGCTGCGGCGAATAAACTCAACAATGTGATTTTACAATGTTTAGGTTATATATGTCTATGTATCAATTCATAACCCGGGGTGGTGGGCCTTTGAAACGATCTAATGGAGAAAGTAATATGCAAGAATATACTAAGAAAATTTAATTCGAGTGTTTTCAATAACATATTTGTCTTAATTAGAAGTGTATTCATGTGTGAATTTTATTGTATAATCAGTTTGTATGACTTCAAATATAGGAGGATGTCGAAAGAATGACTGCACAGCTTCTAGAGTATGCAATGAAAAGTCAGTGTATTAGTCGAGAACGGGTTATGGTAGTGAAAGTATTCTAGGTTTTCCAAATACCTATGGTAATCTATATGCTCTGGCTCTTTCAGCTTACAAGTTTGGTGACTCAACAACGCTTTAAATACTTCTTTTTTAGTTCTAAAATCTGAACTCAGTCGTAAGTTACAAGTGCGTAATATGAAGAAGTGTTCCTAGTGGTTGACCTTTCTATATATTGTTGAACAAAGCATTCATTTTTGCATATATTTGTAAGGTTGGTGCAGTTTTAATTTTTACTTGATGTGTGTTGTGTGTTTTCTCCTGGATGGCAGTGTCTATGTTGAAGTAAAAGGTGGACAAGGATGAGATTCTTACACTAACCAAAGAGCGTCTGAAATGTAAATGGACTAAAGATGAAGCACTTTGTTGTTTATATGAAGTTTCGTTCACTAAAGAAATTGTTTTTATTGAAGCATTATGAATCAGATAAGAAAGGTGAAGCTTGTAGAACTCTGACTCAACCACTTTGGGAAGAACATATCACTTATGAGGTCTTGTTAGCTAATGTGAGGACTTTTAGGTGACCTCTGGTAAAGTATATGCTTTTAAAGTAATTGAAAATAATAGGACATCGTTTGAGCATGATAGTTGAACTTAACTATTTTAATAAATACTTGAGCAGTTTTATAACTTAAACTTTAGGTCTTTAGCCTTCCTATGAAATATAATGAACTCATGACTCATTAGTCTCTAACATACAAGTTTAGCACTGAGCTCTTTATCCCTAAACATATCGGTCGGCTCTTTGTTGTTAATGATCAGAAATTGAGAATATGTTAACATATAACTGATCTTTATGCATTTATTTTCTAATTTTTGTGTATTCTTTGCTAAAATTATATGGCAAATTAGAGGAGAAATATCTAAAAGGAGGCTTGGAATAGGTATCAAATATACTTTGTTTTTAAGTTGTTTTGGCTTTGTTAATGTCTTTAATGTTCTACTAGCATTCATCTGTAATGTGTAACTAATGCACTTCAAAGTGTAAGCGCTAGGCCTGAATTAAAGGCTGTTTAACACTCACATCTATTTACAGAAGCAATAATTAAAAAATATGGACGACTGGCATTGATCACTCAAGTCATATTTTTGGGCTCTCACCTACGCCATCATTACTCTTAAATTAGTAGGTTAGTATTGATTCACATATGAAGTTGATAAATTTTAGCTTATACATAGTATTTGATTATTTTTCAGGTGTCAAGATTTTAATTTGTATTTTATGCTAATTCATTTACTTTCATTTTGTTCACTTTCATTTGAGCTAGCAGCAGATTCTTTAGCATCCAACTTTTGGTTATGGAAGAGATCAATGAGACATGAGAGCGTTGAGCGTCATTTTTCTGCGAAGCTACATATATTTGATATAATTTTTAGACTCTTAGCTAGTTTTTGATGAGTCTTGTGAACTCATAGTTAGTGAACTCAAAGTTAGTTTTTGATGAATGTTGTGAACTCATACCTAGTTTTTGCTGAATATTTTTGGATCAAAACAATGTGAATGTGAAATTTTATTAGTTATGAGCAATGATATGTGTTTACTTTGTTGCGATAAATGTTCCTATGATGATATGTGTAATTGTGTAAATTTCTGATATTTAGAAATAGTTTGGTATGAATTAAATGTTAGGAAGACATTTCATATGAGTTGATTAATCCCATATTGAAAATCTTTAATAACGGTTGTATAACCACTATTGAATGTTTCAATAACGGTTCTGTATTAACTCTTATTAAATGTGCTGGACTTTTAACATGTATCGCAACGATATCGGGCTATAACCGTTATTAAAAGCTCAATTGAACCGTCATTAAAAATACTTCCATAACGGTTCTCGAACCCATATTAAAAGTACCGGACTTTTAATAGGTGCTGCAACAATAACAATTCTGAATCGTTATTAAAAATTCATTAGAACCGTTAATAAATCCATAGGTGTTTGGGCATGGGTGAACTTTTTATTATGGCGGCATGATGACTGCTATTTTCATTTTATCAGCCAACTTTTTATCAAGTATAAATAGCCTCTAAATAGTGCAATAATTAAAAAAAATTAAATTTCGAATTACTTTTCTAACTGAATTTGCTGAAATTATTGTCGAAGATCATATTTGTTATTTTTCATATAATTTTTCTTTATTTTATTAATAAATATATTTTAAATATATATTTTCAAAATTCATCAAATAGATTTAAATTCAGCTGTAATGTCATCAAATAGGCTCTTTATTTCTTTATGGGTGTGTACGTAGTGAACACTTTTGTTGCATACGTAGCATAATGATAATAAAAACAATACTAATTATTGAAATTAATTAGTGTGATTTGTATTGCGTATTCATGTTAATTATGAGTGGCGGGATTAATTTAATTAATTAATAGATATGTCGTATGGAATATATAATAAATACGATTAAGATATAAATATGGTGAATTAGTGACGACTGATGAGGATATGTATCCTTCCGACATGAAGAGCTTATCCGCTTTCTAACTGGTAGATGAATTAATGTGAACCGTAACAAGCAGATAAAATCGAATATTTAGATAAGGCAATAGCTCGCAAAACGAAGATATTTATATAAAATTAATAAAATATTTCTAATTCATTGTTCTATGGGACCCATCTTACATCATCACCCCATTTAATAATCCTCCTCAATTTCCCTGCTGCCCACCACATCTAAGACGTGTTTGTTAGAAAATTTTGACTATGTATCATCTGTTCCAATTTTAGATTGATAAATTAAATCCCATAATAATTGGATTACTACACGAATTTTTTAGTATGAATAAGCCATATTTCGAGATTAAGAAACCTATACGTGTGATTAAAAATGCGATTATTATTTGTTGTGACTTCTATAAGTAAATTTTATGGTAACTACGATATAAAGTGTGAATATAAGTACGTTTTAAAAATTGATATGATCTTTTCAACAAGATAAAAACATTTACAATGAAACAAATACAACAAAGTATAACCAAATAAGATCTTAATCTCGTTGGAAGATAATATTCATCCATTAGTTTGTACATATAGAAATTACTCCAAATAGGACTAAAACTATGATAAAAACTCAAAATAGGATTTACTATGTTTTTTCTTTTCAAAATAGGACCATATTAGTCCTATTGGTAACATACCTATTTTTTCATTCCATTCTTACCCTTGCTTTTTAAATATGAGTTAATTAAATGTTCATAATAAATTCGAAAAAATTCAAAAATTCGTAGAAAAATAAAAAAATATTTATAAAATATTTATAAAAAAAAAAGTTATTTATTTTAATTTTTTATTTTTTTTTGAAAATTAATAAAAAATAGTAAAACCCCATTAAAAAATTGAAAAAAATATGGATGTCTTTCCCATCGCCTCTACTACCTCCCTGCACCACCATCTCCGGCTGGTGAAAAAAATGTCATTTTTCCTAAAAACTGTCATTTTTTTCTGAAAATGCCAAAAACATGACATATTTCTCTTTGAGAATGCCAACAATTTCATTTTTTCTGCCATAAATATGACATTCGTAATGAGCTTGGCATTTTTTCCCCTGGTGACCGGAGGTGGTAGTGCAGAGGCGGCGGTGAATTTTATTTATATTTTTTTAGTATTTTTTTTCTTGAAAATAAATAAATTTATAATTTATTATAATCAAAATATTTTTATTAATTTTTTAGTATTTTTTACGAATTATTATTATTATTTTTATTTTATTATGAGTTAAAAATTTCAATAGCTATAAGAGTATATTTGTCAAATACACAAATAATTAGTCCTATGAAAACTTAATTTACTTTTTGGTCTTATTTGTGCAAAGTGAGTAACTTTTAGTCTTTGATAATTAACCCTTTTGTATATATTTTACTCCTATCAGTCCTATCTTGATGAATTTTCTTTTCCAATTCTCCAAAATAAACGTTATACTTTCATTTAGTTTAGAGTTATCTAAAAAACAGATGTGATATGAAACGTGCAGTGTTATCGTATATCCACATTTCTTCAATTTGGTGAATTTTATACCTATAAATTGTACTGCTTTCTACATGCATTTTCAAAGGAGAAAAGGAAAAACCAAAAGTCAAAATTATAGCATGTTTGGTAGGTAAAGTCATGGTGTAATAGGTGATTAATAGCCAATTGAACGCATTTAAACTCCCTTAAATTATATTTCTCAATAAATTAAAGAAGAAAAACCCAAAACATGATGACACAATTATCACTTATATTCATTTCAACTAAGAACAATTTGCGGATTTTTTTTTTATTTCATAGAAAAGTCAGGCTAATCACAAGATTAGTAGGACATGCAAAACATGTCTATAAACATCTTTTGTTTGTGTACCGGTTCATACATAAAAATGTGTAGAACCATTATTTTTCTTTTAATTTTCATATATGCTTCTGATTGTACTTAAAATAATCTATTATAGACGCAGTTTGTACGTATATAACGTATTCTGAAAGGGTTGAATCCCCAATCTCAAGGGCTGCTCACGCCCCAACCGACAAGATTTATGTGACGATGTAAATCACGATAATTCAGTCAACCAAATAGTGACAATCCTTATACTCGTGTGTATCATTATTTTTATGAGGTTTATGGTTATGTATTCAGGTAAAACATTATAAACAAAACGTAATTACAAATGGATGAATATAAATTATATAATCACCTAAAAAGAGAAGGTGAATGTTATCAATATATATCACGTTTTTAACCTCGAAAATGATTAGCCATGTTTTAGGTCGCTAGTTTTGAGGAATCAACCTGGATAATATTTGAGTGGCCCCACTTCGTGTATGGCAGTACAGGATTTTCGTGAGCCAACATGTGATAAGATTTCATTGTCCCAAAAGTAACTAAAACTAATCCACAAACACTCACACGCCATTATATTCTGGCCATATAAATATGCCCCCTCCCAAGATGTATTGTCCATCTTCACAGGTGCATGTATATGTGCATGTGTCATCCTGAAATATATCCGTTTCTTTTTCTTATCTTAATCATATCAAAGAATTCAAGATTTCAAGAAGTTGGCGTTTTCTTCACAAAGATGAATCAACTGGCTGTTCAAGATCAATGGTTTATGTATACAAAGAATATCCAAGATGATCATCCATGGAGTATGAATGATGGGTCATCATCATCATCCTTAGGAGAGAATTCTTCATCATCTTCCTCATCATCAACAATATCTTCTTTAGACACCACAGATGATGCATCATCTTCTTTATCCTTTGACTTGTCATCTCTCATGTGCCAGTTACCCATCAAGTAAGTATTATGCATACACACTCATTTCTCAATTACATCCCATGAATCCTGAATCCATGGTGATTGCTTTTTCATGGAGATGATAATGAATTGGAGAATAAAAAATGTGGATGCATTTGTGTTTGTGCAGGAGGGGACTGTCCAAGTTTTACAATGGGAAATCAGAATCTTTTACATCACTGTCAAAGATGGCAAGCGAACAAGACCTTGCAAAGAAAGAAACACCATACAAAAGAAGAAGAAGAATAAAGGCAGCTGCAAAGAGTTCTGGGGCTGGTTTCGATGCCTACAAGTCCTTCACTTCACCTAAACCAACCATCACAAAGAAAGCTTCCACCAAGAAGATCTCCTCATCATCATCATATTCTTCTCAAAGCAGAATAGAAAGAAGAAGCTTCATTGGCAGCAGGAAAAGAAGACCCCCTCTGCTTCCTGTTACTGAGAACCCATAACATGTTGTTAAACACAATTCTTTTTTATTTCTCTATATACAGAGAGAGGGAGCGATAGTTATAAGAATAATTAATTATTTTTCTGATTTTCATACCGGGGATACATGTTAAATTTTGTTAATACCCAAGCAGAATAGAAAGAAGAAGCTTCATTGGCAGCAGAAAAAGCAGACCCCCTCTGCTTCCTGTTACTGAGAACCCATTATATGTTAAACACAATTCTTTTTTATTTGTTTCTATACAGAGAGAGAGAGAGGGGGGGAGCGATAGTTATAAGAATAATTAACTAAATTTATTTAATGTTCCAAGAATCAATAAAATCTAGTTATAGGTGTTTCCAAGAATCGATAAAAGCCCAAGAGAAATGAAAGAAGCAGAAGTGGGGAAACAGAAAAATACATAACTAGAGAATCATCCAATATTACATTTATCAACAATTTAAAAGAAAGACAACTACTATAGCCTATGAAAACAGCACAAGCTGCTACTGCTTTCTAGAGTAATCAATATGCTGAAATTAGATTAGGGTAGATCTTTATGGAGAAGACATGGAAGACATGGCTCCTCTGTTTCTGAGTCTGGTGGAACGCCTGACTGGAGTAGTTGTGATCGTCGCCTTCTTGGTGGACTCTCCATCTTTGCTCCCCTGTCATTGGCATGATAGTGAAAAATAAGAATTCAAAGTATTGGGAAAAAACCGGTGGTGTAATCAAAATCTGAAATGGAAGTATAAAATGAAAGTTACCTCTTTCTTCTTGGGAGGTAGTTTCCTATCAGTGGAATATCTTTCATATGAGGAGGAATCAGATATTGGAGTCTCCATTGGATGATGATGAAGTTTCATTGGCGATCCATCACTGAAGTGAGAAATGGAATAGCTACTCTCTTCAGTTTCAGAAAGCAGTTTGCTTTTCTTCATTAAAGAGCTGCTGCTGACTTCTTCTCCTCCAATCACGAGCTCTCCAAGAAGCTCAACCACCTCTACAGATTTTGTGTAGCCACTGCCACTAAACTCTTGCCTTGAGTCTTTCAAGGGCAGAAGCGAAAAAGATGAGTCTTCTCTACTTACGCCCCAAAGCTGATTGGTTTCTGGGTTGTCCTCCATTTCCACTCTATATGATGAGATGCACTCAGGAGAGGGGAGCAAGTTGGAGTACCTATGGTATTCTTCAACAGGAGGACCGATCAATGGTGAAGCTTTTGCAGTGGTTTCAATTTTCTCATCAACATTCGGAGTCTCTGGTTCAAGTACAGGCTTTGATTGTTTTTCAGGAGGAGGAATTCTTGGGTGCCTTGCAGAATATGCATATGCAAGAATCAGGAGGGAGAGAGTGGCGATATAAGCAGCTGCTGGGGTGAGTTGTTGAATCTGTTGGAGTATGTTGTTGTTCATAGCAACATCAGCAGATTCCTTGGTATATTGTTCAGACAATATACTACTTGGAACAGTATCTTCATCATTTGTTTCTATTTCAGTCTCCTCCAGAAATCCTTCAGTGATGCTTTCTTTTGAAGCTGTCGGCTCTACCACAACAGATTCTTGAATTACACCAGAAGGGTTGTCATTTTCTGAAAGCCACTCAGGAGTCATTTCCCCAACTTCATACTGTTTTAGTGGATCAGAACCACCCTCTTCCATTTCATCAACAGGATCAACTATGTTGTTTTCTATAGATTCTACTGCTACAGAGAATTGATCAAAAGCTTCATTTTCATCTGTTCCTGTGGTTTCTTTCTCCAGTTCTTGAACACAACATTCTTCACTGGTCCTATTGTTATTTCCCGTAAAGATATCATTTTCATCCTCAAGCAATTGTACTTCTGCAACATCAGAGAACATACCAATCTCTTTTGTATCATCCAATTTCCAAAGATTAATGCTTGGTGACAGTTCAATTTCATTAAGATGTTCACTGACACTTCCATTCACATTAAAAGGAAGAACTCCAAATCCATGATAAATTTCAGAGAAGCCATTCATAACCGTTTCAGCTGGTGGTGAAGATGGAGGATCATCCATCCAAGATACAAACAAGGGAGATAAGAGCACAAGTGTTGTTAAAAGCAGAAATTTCAACAACCGATTAAAACTACATCTTTTGTGTTCAAACCATTTCTCCCCTTCTTCCTCTTCGTTCTCTTCCTCCTCCTCCTCCTCTTCCTCCTTTTCATCCTTATAGCTCTTCACTGCTTCATCATCTGATTCCACATCATAGCCACATTCTTGTGCATTCTCTTTGTTTTCAAGGTGTGGAGTATCATCTTGGGGTGGAAGAGGCAGACCCTGGTCGTGCCCCATTGAACCTTCATCATCAGTAGAGGTGGTTTTTTTATTTTCAAGTTCAAGAAAGAGCTCACGACGCCTATTCGGTTTGTAGCGCAAATACTTAGGCCGGGGGGAGAGGTAATTCGTTATAGGGTCATACATATTTGAAGATGAATCATCATTCAGCTCAGGGGTGCAATTTTGGGACGAATTAGCTAATGAAGATTTTTGTATGACATTAGTGTTGGGTGTATTACTTGGGGATTTCCTGGAAGGAGTATAAGAAGAGTCTGCTTCATTCCTTTCACCCAAAATGTTCTTTTTCTTGATAGCACTCTTAGAAGTTGCAGATATGGTAGATGACATGAAATGCTTAGTATGTGGTTTCAAGCGGTTCCTCAAATTCTCATTTGTATTTCCTGCTCCTTTACAAAAGAAAAAAGGAGTACCAATTAAAAATATTTATTGAAAATTGAATAAGAGATTGTAATAAGAAACCGGCCATTAATGTCTCAGCTCTGAGTTTATTTCTAACCCTAGAAGTTTCTTTAAATGATAAATACTGCAAAAACAGTTTCATTTGAGATTCAAGATCATAATCATCTTCACAGCGTTCTACACCATTTTCACATTCTTACATATACATCAAAACGTTCATTTACGCTAAAGCGGAAGAGTAAAAGGGCATCAAATGAAACATGTAAGGGTTCTTCCATTTTCGGTTCCTCATAAATCTTTAAAAGGGGGGAATTTTTCGTTCTTACCGGGAGGGGACAGCAGGGGGAGTGCAGTAGTGCTCGATAAAGAATCCGCTTTTCTGAAAGTCGGTCCGTCCATGCCCATCAAAACGTTCTAACTCCTGGTGTTCTTTTTGTTTGGAATTCAAATTGTCTGATTTCTGGAACGATGTTTTCCAGAATTTAGGGTTAAGAATTAGGGGAATCAGTCAATCAGGTTGCTAGAGAAAGAGATGATATGAAGAATACGACCGTTGGAAAAGGGAGTAATACAGTCTAATTTAAATTTTAAAACATACGTAGTAGCTGGTGTTTGTAAATTGTAACCGTTGGAGCGTCTGTACAGTCATAGACCCGTTAGAGTTCTTAGTCATTGTAAACTTAAAGATGAACTAGTTAAACTGTTAAAGTGTGACTACATAGATATAGAGGTTTTCCTAGGAAAAAATGATGATACTAATTTCAATCGCTAATAATCTCTATTATGATTTTTTTTGCGGTTGGTCTCTTGCTAATATTACATGTTACATTTAAACGATAACTAAACATAAACCATAAACAATCTTAACTATCATCGTTCTATTTTAGTAACCTCAATTATCAGCTATCAATTTTCAGATTAAATGTTTATACATTTTTAGATAATTTTCTTAAAACACGTAAAACTGATTTTGAAATTCTACTAATGTAACGAGGTTAAAACAAAGTTTTAATTTATTTTATTTATTTTCAGTAAAATTTCATTTTTTTTTCATTTTTTCATAATGAACTGAAATTTTTATTTTTTCCAATTTATTTTATTTTATTTTATTTTATTTTATTATACTATCATAATTCATAATAGGAATGTAATCGTTAATCACTCAACATAAACAAAGATTTAATGCACTAAAATTAAAGCATCTTGCTAGACACATCTACACTACCTAAAATAGTTCACTTCGTTCTAGATCTCTGAATATGCAATTTAATTAAGAACATTTAAGGTCAGTCTATTCTACTCCAATTGAAATAGGCAATTTTAAACATGTACCTTAAATTTTAATGAAAGTATTTTTACCTAGTATGCAAAAACATACTCCGTATACAATCAGATTATCAGATATGAAATAACTTAGTTGGTCGTTGACTCACTCACCCATACAGAAGATTTTGAATTCGAAACTACATGGAGTAAGTTCCAGTCCTCTTTATCATACACTCCTCCCAGCCCTCATTGGGCCACACCTTGACCCCCTAGGGTTAAAAAAGTACCGGATATGAAAAAATCTATATTTGTAAATATTATTAGTTCCGGGCAAGCCACATAGAGCCTCAATAAAAGAATTATTAGAGGCTTAGTATTGTATTTTACATTAAAGGGAAAAGGGGCAGATAAGGCCACGTACTAACAAAAAAAGGTCAAATAAGGCCTTATTTATGAGACTCTGTCCGGCCTTCATCATTTGGGTTGGTTCTCGGTGGAATTTTTTGATGAAATTTTTTGAGCATCTTATTCAGTAAGTCTAGTTTACTCATACCAAATTTAAGCTAAAACTTCAATCGGGAAGCCATTCAAATGAATTCTTGAAGATAATTGCGCAGTTAAAAGCGCAGTTATCTTCAAGAATTCAATTGAATGCCTTCTCGATTAAATTTTTATCTGAAATTTGGTATGAGTAAACTAGACTTAATGAATAAGATGGCCAAAAAACTTAATCAAAAAATTCCACCGAGAACCACCCAAAATGGCGAAAGCCGTACAGAGCCTCATAAATAAGGCCTTATTTGACCTTTTTTGGTTAGTGCGTGGCCTTATTTGCCCCTTTTCCCTACATTAAACTCTCTTTAATATAAATATATCTGTCAGGGCTCCTCAGAGAGTAACCTTTTCCATTAATTCACATGGTATCAAAGACCTAAATTTTCTCTCTCCTAAAACCCTCTTTCCGCTCGATGACTTCCGCCGAAGGTCTGCACGCTTCTACCGCAGCCACCTTCTCTTCTTCCTCAATCACGGCGCCGGCCCATTCCGCCTCCACCGACGCAGCCGTAACCAACGTTGCCTTCTCCGTAACAGCGCCGCCACATATGTTTTCCTCTCAGCCGGGACCGAGTATCCCCAACGCTGCCTACTCCCTGTTTCCTCCGGCGTTTCCATGGCAGCTGATGGAGTATATGGCCCAGGGACCCCCGGCCCACATACTTCCTCTACTACAATCAGGCCCAATAGGCCCAAACGGGCCAAGCCCAGCAAAATGGAGCTCTAAGCAGCCCACAATACGTAAAGGGGTGCCTTCGGCCCTATGGCCGAAGGCTACCAGTGACGGAATCGAGCTTAGAAACATCACAGGAGAACAAGGCTTGAAAACCAAGCCTTCGACAACTGCAGCCCTCGGCGGGTAGGAGCCTTCGGGTAGAAGAGGCATCACAGGAGAACACGCTTTGAAAACCAAGCCTTCGGCAACTGCAGCCCTCGGCAGGTAGGAGCCCTCGGTTAGAAGAGGCATCACAGGAGAACAAGGCTTGAAAACCAAGCCTTCGGCACCTGCAGCCCTCGGCGGGTAGGAGCCCTCGGTTTGAAGAGCCTTCGGCCCAGCACCCTTCAGCCGAAGGCATCCACCTCGACAGAATATCCTCTTCACATGCGCCTGGATCACCGTACCAAGTACAAACGTCACATCCAACCACCGCATTTAATGCGGCCACATGCGAGTGCCAGTGCCACCCCGGTCGAGGTGACCCCTCGACCACCAGAAAACTGACACGTGTCCTTATCTAGCATTTATTACTGCTATAAATAGCACCCCTTTCCCCCATTGTAAACCACGCCGAATACATATCGAATATACACTCTCTCTCTTACTTGTTTGCTCTGACTTCTCTCTAGTTATTCTCCGCAATAACCCCTCGGATAAGCTACCCCCCGGGTACACGATCCATCATTTGGTGCTCTCGTTGAGAGGTCGAACGATCAAGTAAGAAACCCTCCCCCTTCGCCAAACACTAGCCCTCTACCAAAATGGTGAGAACAACACGTGCCAACTCCAAAAACGTAGAAGACAAGAACCTGGCCCTCGGCGACGTCAACGCCCCCGAAGCCTCTCACAAGGCTCCCGAGGGCGGTGTCATCGTTGGGCTGGAACAGGCGGCTGTCGACCTACGCCTTCAGATCCAGCAGAATGCCCCCGATGCCCGCCTTGGCATCGAGGCCAAGAAGAAAAACCGGAGCGATGACCAAGTCAGCCCTCCGGTCCTCACCATCGACGTTCATTCGGCACTCTCCGCCTTCATCCAGACGCTAACTCAGAACCCGGGTGCCTTCGGCACCCTGGCTCCGGCTCAACCCCAGGTTGGGGAGAACATCGTACTTCCCCCTCTGCCACACCCCTTCGGAAACCCCATCCCTCGGGTTAGGAATGACGAAGGGGTAGTGGCCCAAGACACGGCCTCCCAGGAAGTTCAGTCCCGGGACCGCCACAATGACAACAGAGAAAGGCCCCGCACTTCCGCCCTCAATCGGCTCGGAGGGGGGCAAGACCGCCGAGGGCCCCAAGAAAGCGGAGGGTCTGTCTCGAGGGCAGGCGAGGAGCGTCCCCCTCGGGACAAAGGCAAGGCACCCCTTCATGCCGACGATGCTCGCCACCAGATCAACCAGGCCCACTCGGCCCGGGTTCGTTCGCAGGGGGCGGAGACCCTCCCGAAGGACCCTCGGGACAAAATTATTGCGGCCCTCCAACGCCGACTTGATGAAATGGAGGCCGACAAAGCTCACGCCACCACCTCCACCCCTCATTCAGACCTCAAATACGAGGCCATGATGGCCAAAATGGAGGAATTACAGAAGAAGGTAGTCGAGGGCTCCGGGGAACCCATCATCCAGCTCCGGACCCGGACGCCATTCACCCCAAGGGTATTGGCGGCCCAAATCCCGGAAAAGTACCGAGGGAAACTCATCAAGCCCTATGAAGGAAAAACTGACCCCCAGGAGCACTACAACAGGTATCAAAACAGCATGATGATGATGGGGGCATCAGATGAATACTTATGTCGTTGGTTCCTTTCCACCTTGGAGGGACCAGCATACGAATGGTTCAATCGATTGCCCGAGGGCAGCATTGACTCTTGGCAAGATCTTGCCCAACGCTTCCTCACCCATTTTGCCGGAAGGAAGCGCGCGAGAAAGCACTTCTCCCAGCTCCTCTCCGTCAAGCAACAGCCTGACGAAACACTTCGGTCCTTCATTGACCGGTGGATGAAGGAGACATACGAGGTCGAGGGCGCCGACGAGCGTACCCTCCTCGTCCTCTTCCAGGGGGTTCTCCGCAGCAGCCCCTACGCACGGAGCCTCATCACCGACCCCCCAAGATCATACCTCAGAGCACTCCAGCGGGGGAGCCTATACGCCGACGCCGACGACCTCCACTCCTTCAAGAAGAACGAGGGCCAGCCCTCGAAGAAGATAAACAACACGCCGGCCCCAAATGTGCCCTCGGCCGGAGGCCGAGACCATGGAAGCCACACCCAGCAGGGCCATAACGAACGTCAATGGCGCCCTCGGCTGGACATGCCGAGGACTCCCCTCACGCACCCGGTGAGCACTATCCTCAACTATGCGGAAGAGCAGGACCTTTTCCCCAAGGACCCTCGGTCGGCGAGGGAGATCTACGCCATCCACCTAGGCGGCACTTATTGCCGTTACCACAAAAGCACCTCCCACAATACAGACGATTGTGTCTCGTTAAAGAAGGCTATTGAACTCTTAATTCAACGGGGTGAGCTCCACCAATTCATCAAAAATTCCCCAAGGAAAAACACCAGGGAGAACACCGATAAAGAAGAAGGGGACATCGCAATAAAGAAACATGAAATCGGGAGGCTCAGTGACGGAGAGGAGTTCGAGGAGCCCCAGCCGAAGAAGCGCCACCTCCGCTAATCATGTTCCTCACCTTCGGCGTTAGTCTCAGCCTTGGGCCCTCGACCTCGAGGCACATTACCATCCCCTCGGCCTAGAGCCCTCGGCCTTGAGCGGTGAATCTTAACAAAGTCGTTGTCAAACAACGCACCCCTTGTATTCCACGTATTTCTATGAATTTAAGTAAACTACAACACAATCCAGACATCTTATCGGCCCCTTCGAGGCCAAATGCCCAGGTATGGCCGATGGTTTCTAGAGACGAGGGGCCTGCAAAAGGCCCGCGTTTTTGGAGCGGGACGCTCGCCGCGTCGCCGGCGCGCAACGCACGGCGACAGGCCTGAAAGAATGACTGAGGTGACGAAATCCCC